TTAGGTAGTCCTGGTGCAGGTGCTTCTCTTGGAGGGTTTGGTGGTATATAAGTTCCACCAGCTGGCACATATGTTCCATCTGCAGCATAATGTCCTACCTGACTTTTCGTTCTTAAGAAAGCATTTACTAGGTCTGTTTTGGTCTGTTGTAACTCTTTTTCTTGACTTTCCACAACAGTTGCTCTAACGGCGTCATAGGCACTTTGAACTGCCTGTCTCGTTGCTGCATCTGTTATTTTCGTCATATTTTGTGCTACTTCTCTTAACTCTTTGTCGAAACCTTCAGACTTCAGTTTCTTTCCAGATGAGAAGTCGTTCACTAGTTTCACCTTACTATGAAGAGCTTCGAAGGCATTCTTAAAGTCAGCATTCATTAAAGCTTCATTTGAACTGTCTTCATCCGCTTGTATTTTTGTCCTTATTGACCCTATAAGTTGGGCTGCTTTAGCGTTGGCCTGGGCATCTAACCAGTCATTATTAGCTTTTATATATTCTGCGCTTTTCATTGCCTTTTGCATGGCTGCGTCGTTATTTTTACTTTCTTGTGCTAAGTTTTCATACTGTACGGTTTGGTTTTGCAACTGTAAAAGTTTTTCTGCCTTTACATTTGCTTCAACTTCTTTTTTATACTCATCGCTATCCATATATGTCTTCATGGCTTTTTGTTTTATCTCTTCATCTTTCAGTACTTTATATTGAGTAGTATGGTTTTTCAAATTTATAACATCTTGTTCCATTTTTGCTACTTCTGCTGCTTTTTCTGACACTTTTTTCGCATATTCCTCTGTACTTAGTTCTTTCAGTTGTTCTTCTTTCTTCTTTTTCTCTACGTTTAACTCATTTAGTTTCTTTGTCTGTCTGTCATATTCTAGTTTCTTTTCGTTTTCACTTATTTGTTTCTGTATGTCTATGTTTGACTTTTTGACATCTGTTATTTGATTTTTGAGTGAACTCAAATTCATTTGACTTTGAGGGTTATAAGCTGTTCCGTCTGCAGCTCCACCATAGCCTGCCATTTTCGCTAAAAGTGCCGCTCTTAAACCTCCACTCTGTGCACCAATAACTCGGTTTAAAAGCATAGGGTTGCTTGACATTTGTTGCAACATAGTGGGGTCATTCATCATTTGTTGTTGCAACTGTTGTTGTGGTGTCAGTTTTACTATTGGATGTTTCAATGCTCCCTTCCTCTTACGTATATTCTTACGTAGCTTACGTGGCATTTTAAGTGAAGTAAAAAAGCGGTTTTTGACAGATGTTTATATGACACTTTTTGTTCAGCACAAAAAACTACTCGGTCAAAGTGTTGTCAGTTTTGTAAAATAACCGTCCTATCTCATTCTATAAGGGGGAAAAGGCTTCTCAAAGTATACTTCCTTGGAACGCCTGTAACTTTTCCTGTAGCGATGATAGACCCTTACTTGTCCGGACAAAGTTATACTATTTTGAGTGCTCTACAAAAAAGTCAACGGCGACGACTCTCAAAAACCGTTGTGTAAAAGGTTTTACCGTTGGACAAAAAAGTATATATAGAAAACAAAAAACGTTTATAATTCATTCAATATTTGAGATAAACCGTTTTTTCCAACGGTAACTATTAAATAAAATAAAAAAATAGAGGGGGTCTCCGTTGACGAAAACGGTTTATCTCAAATTTTTCTATGAGTGGTCCGAAAAAAACAGTTCATTTTTCATAATGGAAGGAAGAACAAGTGTCGCAAACAATTCGTCGACTACCTCTGCAGTTAAAGTTCCTACAACTTATGTCTCACCATTCTCAAAACCCTTACGACCTCCTATAATACCAAAGCAACCTCCTCATACAATTTAAGACAAATTGTCCAACAATTTGAGTTCTTCTTCTTCTCAAAACACAACAGAAACATCTGAAACAGTTGTCCAAACAGCACCAGAACAAGTTTCACATAGTTTTACAATTCAAGACAAATTGTCCAACAATTTGAGTTCTTCTTCTTCTCAAAACACAACAGAAACATCTGAAACAGTTGTCCAAACAGCACCAGAACAAGTTTCACATAGTTTTACAATTCAAGACAAATTGTCCAACAATTTGAGTTCTTCTTCTTCTCAAAACACAACAGAAACATCTGAAACAGTTGTCCAAACAGCACCAGAACAAGTTTCACATAGTTTTACAATTCAAGACAAATTGTCCAACAATTTGAGTTCTTCTTCTTCTCAAAACACAACAGAAACATCTGAAACAGTTGTCCAAACAGCACCAGAACAAGTTTCACATAGTTTTACAATTCAAGACAAATTGTCCAACAATTTGAGTTCTTCTTCTTCTCAAAACACAACAGAAACATCTGAAACAGTTGTCCAAACAGCACCAGAACAAGTTTCACATAGTTTTACAATTCAAGACAAATTGTCCAACAATTTGAGTTCTTCTTCTTCTCAAAACACAACAGAAACATCTGAAACAGTTGTCCAAACAGCACCAGAACAAGTTTCACATAGTTTTACAATTCAAGACAAATTGTCCAACAATTTGAGTTCTTCTTCTTCTCAAAACACAACAGAAACATCTGAAACAGTTGTCCAAACAGCACCAGAACAAGTTTCACATAGTTTTACAATTCAAGACAAATTGTCCAACAATTTGAGTTCTTCTTCTTCTCAAAACACAACAGAAACATCTGAAACAGTTGTCCAAACAGCACCAGAACAAGTTTCACATAGTTTTACAATTCAAGACAAATTGTCCAACAATTTGAGTTCTTCTTCTTCTCAAAACACAACAGAAACATCTGAAACAGTTGTCCAAACAGCACCAGAACAAGTTTCACATAGTTTTACAATTCAAGACAAATTGTCCAACAATTTGAGTTCTTCTTCTTCTCAAAACACAACAGAAACATCTGAAACAGTTGTCCAAACAGCACCAGAACAAGTTTCACATAGTTCTACAATTCAAGACAAATTGTCCAACAATTTGAGTTCTTCTTCTTCTCAAAACACAACAGAAACATCTGAAACAGTTGTCCAAACAGCACCAGAACAAGTTTCACATAGTTCTACAATTCAAGACAAATTGTCCAACAATTTGAGTTCTTCTTCTTCTCAAAACACAACAGAAACATCTGAAACAGTTGTCCAAACAGCACCAGAACAAGTTTCACATAGTTCTACAATTCAAGACAAATTGTCCAACAATTTGAGTTCTTCTTCTTCTCAAAACACAACAGAAACATCTGAAACAGTTGTCCAAACAGCACCAGAACAAGTTTCACATAGTTCTACAATTCAAGACAAATTGTCCAACAATTTGAGTTCTTCTTCTTCTCAAAACACAACAGAAACATCTGAAACAGTTGTCCAAACAGCACCAGAACAAGTTTCACATAGTTCTACAATTCAAGACAAATTGTCCAACAATTTGAGTTCTTCTTCTTCTCAAAACACAACAGAAACATCTGAAACAGTTGTCCAAACAGCACCAGAACAAGTTTCACATAGTTCTACAATTCAAGACAAATTGTCCAACAATTTGAGTTCTTCTTCTTCTCAAAACACAACAGAAACATCTGAAACAGTTGTCCAAACAGCACCAGAACAAGTTTCACATAGTTCTACAATTCAAGACAAATTGTCCAACAATTTGAGTTCTTCTTCTTCTCAAAACACAACAGAAACATCTGAAACAGTTGTCCAAACAGCACCAGAACAAGTTTCACATAGTTCTACAATTCAAGACAAATTGTCCAACAATTTGAGTTCTTCTTCTTCTCAAAAACAACAGAAACATCTGAAACAGTTGTCCAAACAGCACCAGAACAAGTTTCACATAGTTCTACAATTCAAGACAAATTGTCCAACAATTTGAGTTCTTCTTCTTCTCAAAACACAACAGAAACATCTGAAACAGTTGTCCAAACAGCACCAGAACAAGTTTCACATAGTTTACAATTCAAGACAAATTGTCCAACAATTTGAGTTCTTCTTCTTCTCAAAACACAACAGAAACATCTGAAACAGTTGTCCAAACAGCACCAGAACAAGTTTCACATAGTTTACAATTCAAGACAAATTGTCCAACAATTTGAGTTCTTCTTCTTCTCAAAACACAACAGAAACATCTGAAACAGTTGTCCAAACAGCACCAGAACAAGTTTCACATAGTTTACAATTCAAGACAAATTGTCCAACAATTTGAGTTCTTCTTCTTCTCAAAACACAACAGAAACATCTGAAACAGTTGTCCAAACAGCACCAGAACAAGTTTCACATAGTTCTACAATTCAAGACAAATTGTCCAACAATTTGAGTTCTTCTTCTTCTCAAAACACAACAGAAACATCTGAAACAGTTGTCCAAACAGCACCAGAACAAGTTTCACATAGTTTACAATTCAAGACAAATTGTCCAACAATTTGAGTTCTTCTTCTTCTCAAAACACAACAGAAACATCTGAAACAGTTGTCCAAACAGCACCAGAACAAGTTTCACATAGTTTACAATTCAAGACAAATTGTCCAACAATTTGAGTTCTTCTTCTTCTCAAAACACAACAGAAACATCTGAAACAGTTGTCCAAACAGCACCAGAACAAGTTTCACATAGTTCTACAATTCAAGACAAATTGTCCAACAATTTGAGTTCTTCTTCTTCTCAAAACACAACAGAAACATCTGAAACAGTTGTCCAAACAGCACCAGAACAAGTTTCACATAGTTTACAATTCAAGACAAATTGTCCAACAATTTGAGTTCTTCTTCTTCTCAAAACACAACAGAAACATCTGAAACAGATGTACAACCAATAGAACAAGATACAGTCTCTCAAACTACAAGTATGTTAAAGAGCACAATTTCAAGATTTAATTTCTCTTGAACAATATTCGAGTAACGAAACACAAAGCGACGACTGTAACCTCTCGCTACCCGAATCCATTCAAAAAAATACGCCATGAAAAGACTGAAATTGTTGTATAAACTTCTTAACAATTGGGGGTCGAAGACAACTCAGATTATAGTGAAATGTTTAACAAAGTCATAGAATCTCTTAAACCAATTGAAAACGACATAAAAAATCCCGGTGTTCTTGTAGACCTTTTCGCCTCAAAATTACCAGTTACAACTAATCTAATAGCAACACAAGCTATAGAGCAATTTATTTTATGTTTTCCCAAGCAATATAGACAACACCTGAGGGAAACAAGAATAGGAAAATTTCAATTGGTGTATCCTACAACATACAACTATTACGAAGAAGCAAATGAATATGGAGAACTCTCATTCCATTTCACACTTTCAGTTCCTGAGGGAGAAGAAAAAGCAATCTATCATGTACAATCTCTTGCAGGATGTGAAGGAAAACCTCACATAATAACTACTGTTGCAATTGACAAACCTGCAAGAGTCGAAGACGATGTTTTGTTCGCGTCCATTGCTGGTTTTGGCATGGGAGAACCAATTCCAATTTCCCATTTCACAGAATACTCAGCACAACATTTTCAAAATGTAGAATTCGTGTTCTACGACCATCAAAAGTTCCTGCTAACAAAACCAAAGAAACAATTTGTCTCAATATTTGTTGCTGGTCATGTGGCTGACAAAGAGCCATCAGATACTGACTATGAAGAAGAGGAGGAGGAAGAAGAAAACGATAACGATGTCGTTCTTATCGAATAAAAACTTTAATTTTTTACTATATAATTTTTTTAGTTCTCTTCTAGGTTTTCTTATGGGCTAGAGGGCACGAAGTGCCTGGAAGCCCCACCTACCTGACCTATTAAAATAAACATTTTTACAAATTTTTATAAAAAAATATGTGACATATCGTTTTACCACAATTCAAAATAATTAATGTTGATAAATGTATTTAATATGTAATATTAAACATATTTTGCGAGAGAAGTGAGTTGTGGTAACTTTCGTGGATATCCATCGTTCATTTTATGGTAAAAATTCTCAATTTGTGGGAAAAGTTCTCAATTTTGTGGTAATTTTTATGTACCACAACTCAATTTGTGGTCACTTCATCTTACCACGTGGTAAGTTTTTATAAAACTCTTTATTTACCATTGATTTCTGATTTAATATCAATATCTTGAATAATCAAGCATATCTATCGCTTTAAATTTTATTCTCTAATTCCAAAAAAAAATTCAAAAATCAAAAAATGAAAAAAATATTTAGAATTTTTTCCGTCAAAAATAAAAAATGTTCCCTGAGTGGTTTCCATGGAAAGTTACCACTGGGTCCCACAGGGATTGGCCTAAGTATTTCTTAATAGAATGTGAAATAAAGTAAAATTAACTATATTCAAAATAGAAAAAAATCCAAAAAAATTTTGAAAAAAAGAATTTCATGATAAAAAGCATAAATTTTGCATCAGAAAATTAAATTCAGGTATTTTTTTGAAATAGAAAGAGTCCTAAAATTAGTTAAAATCATTTTTTATTCAAAAGAAACGCTATTTTTAAGGAATTGAAAAGAATTTTATTTAATAATATTTTATTTATAGAATTTGCATATATCATATGCATAGACATATTGAATTGTAAACATGAGAACACTAATTACATTAACTTGTCGTTCAAATTATTGCATCGAGAAAAAAGTGCTATAAATTTACTCAATTAGTTTACAAACGTAAATATTTGGCATAAACTTTACGTTTGTAAACTAATTTGGTAAACTCGTAGTTCAAATTATTGGGGAACAGGACAAATTTGCCACACGGCACTTTTTTTAAAAAAAAAATTAATGGAGCGGAGCGATAGTCTGCTGCAGGAGCCCCAAGGCTCCCAATCATTACGAAAGGGAGCCTCAGGGCTCCTGAGAATCCATCAGCAGAGGCCTTTTCATTTGGCCTCTGCTGATCAAAGATTCGGCGAAGCCATTCTTCGTCTCAGGAGCCCCAAGGCTCCCAATCATTACGAAAGGGAGCCTCAGGGCTCCTGAGAAACCTCTTTGAGAAGGTTTTCTTAAAGAAAACCTTCTCAAAGATGATTGTCAGCATTCACTCAAAATCTACCAAGAGTTTCAAAGTTTCAAATCTATCTGAAATGAAGCTTTGAATCTCTTGTATATCTAATTGTAGAGGTACCTTTTCAAAATGTCTTCGATTGATTAAATTTAATCAGTAAAAGTCATTTTGAAACGGTACATCTCTATAATTGCTATTGAGCATTCACTCTTGGAACCTTGGAGCTCTTGTGTAGTGCATGAAAACTCCAAGATTCTAGCATAAAACATATATCATAGACATAATTTCTTCAAATATAATTTAAGGTTATTTTTTAAAAAATGAGAAAAGCGTAATTTAAGGTTATTGAAAAGTGACACTTGGCAAATTTGTCCCGCACTCAAATTATTGCATCGAGAAAAAAAGTGCTATAAATTTACTCAATTAGTTTACAAACGTAAATATTTGGCATAAACTTTACGTTTGTAAACCAATTTGATTAAATTTAGTAAATTTTAGTTCGAATGCAAGTTTTCTCGGTAAATCATTTTTTAGACCTCAAATGAGATGTATGATCATATGAGTCACATATGATTTAATCCGAATATGTGTGAGAATTGAGTTTAAAACGAAGTTTATTTTTTGGACTATATTTCGCCATTTTAAAATGTGTAATAATGATATAACTCGCATGAAATTGAAAAATATTGACTGGATGTGTAATGGTTTTATAATTGCAATGTTGATTTGATCGAATTTAAATGAATATATAACGCGATGAAATTTCGAATTGCTCAAATGTCTGTAATTCATATATGGTGCACATATTAATATTACATTTCGTTGATATTTACCACATAAACCTTTAAATATTAAGTCATTTTAAAGTTATATGCGATTTAGTTCCAAAATGCACATTTAGAAAAAGACGATAACGATTAAATTACAAAATCGATAACGACCCATCATAAAATTGAATGAAAAGTTAAATTATCCTGCAAAAAAATAATAACGCATTTTTTTCCTCAAATAATAAATTCTCTCATATTGTATATTACATTTTTAAAATATTGGTGCAAAAATGGAACGATACGTAAACTCCTTTTCCTTTGTAAAGTCGTCTATTCAAATTTTTGATAGAGATTCACTTAATATTGAGGTAGAAAAACGATAAGGAGACTTCACTTATGAAAATGGGTTTAAAAAAATGACATTTTTTATAATTCACGACTAGAGAAATTTAGAATTGCGTTTAAATGAGTTTTAATAAGAAAGAGATTAATTTAAGGGTGGCGGAAAGTGAAGTGAATGACCAAAAATAAAATGTTATTATCTCGTCATATTTTTGATATCTTTTGATAAAAATTATATGGATACAAAACTCATTTGTAGTAGTATATGTGTGCCATAATTTCATTATCATATATGAGAGCTTTTGGTTTTCCCTCCTATGATAAATATGTGAATTATGCGTTTGATAGGGGTAAAAAACTTTAAATATCTCATGATTGGAGCTTTAAACACAAAATTTACTCAATAGAAAATATAGATAACAATAGCTTATATATATTTAAATATAAAGAAAGACTCCTTATCTTATATTGAAAGACTAGATACAAATCTAATTAAACTCTGAATGGGAGCAACTTGTAACGAAAAGTATCGGAAGTAATTGGTATTTATATGTTATTTATTCTCATACATTGATTTTGTGCAAATTTGATAAGTAGTTCCAGATCTCATCACTTATTGCATCTTGGACGAATTTAATAGATACGTATTTTGCTCAATAGAAAAGATAGATTTATGTACCTATATTGCATACTTTAAGTATTTTTGATATTAATTCAATAACCAGAGACGAGATACAGTTGAAAATTCATTTTTTTCATTCCTTATTTCTCTACCAGATAAAGACCTCAGACTCTACAAACTTTGTAGTAAAGACTTGTTTATATATACTATTTAGTTATGCTACAATAACAAAAGAATTTCAAATATTTATTTAGTTATTTTCACTTTATGTTATTCGGTCACATCACTTTCCGCCACCCTTAAGAGTGTAATCAAGCCAAAATAAAAAGCAAAGCGCATTAATTTACATTCATAGGATTTAAGCTTCGAATTAACCAAATTTACAAATGTAAAACATACCCTAAATCTTTACATTTGTAAGCTCAGGTGGTAAAATTGGAACTATTTTTTTCTCAAAGCAATATTTCGAACTTCAAGTTTAATGGATGAGTTTTCAAATGTAAATCTTTATAAAAGGGTTATTGTTTTTGAATTCTTTTCATTATGCATTATATATTTCCAGAAAAACAGGTAAATACTCAGAATACTATTTCATTGCCAGAAGAAGAAAATAAGAACATTTATATTCGAAAAGTTCAATTGCCAAGAAACATCACCAACATACATTTATCAGTTTTGTTCTTCTAATGCTTTGTTAATATTTAAAGAAGGATTCTAAGATAATTAAAATAACTATAATAAAACACATTTTAATATACAATAAAAAAATAACAAAAATAAAATTAAGCAACTTCAGTCATATCAGGAGAAATAACTGTTTCTTTCTGTTGTAAATAGAAAGTCAAATACAAATCAACCAAGTTCTCAAACAATGCCAAAAGTCTCTCTGTTTTATCTGATGGTAAAGGCTTCTGCAATCCTCTTATCATTATGTCCAAAGAGTACTGATAGAAATCAAGCAAACCACGGTATTCGCAAACCAAGTTATCAACAGATTTATTTGCTTTAAATGCATCATCAACAGTGAAAACTTTCTTTGTGATTGTGTATTTAATCCAAGGCTCGAAAGTATTGTTTGTCTGGTCCTTCATTTTCTCGAACCACTTCGAGAACTTCGTCCAATGCCTTGTTATGTCTTTTCTTGGCATCTCTGTGATTTGATCTTTCGTATTATTTGTGAATGGCGTTTCAATCGAATAGAAATGAATTGAAAGATCATCCATGGCTGAAAGCAGTGAATCAATAGAGATAGATCCACCGCCAAGTAAAGTAGCAACTCTGTACATGTCAAAGACATCATCGAAAGGTCCTGTGAATCCAAGACTTTGGACCATTCCGACGAAAGCTTCGAAATCAACAGAATTCGAATTCGCTTTGAATTTCTTGGAGTTGAACATCAATTTCACGGCATTTCTCCTCTTCCTTCTTTCTCCTCTATAATATTTCATCAATATAGTGATGAAAGCCGCGTAATCGATGTAATCAGATATCGCCAATTTCTGTGCATCAGCCATTATTCCTGCGAGTGCTGGAGAGAAAACTCCGACAACTCTTTCCAACAATTCCTTGCATTTTGCGTAAGGAACATTGAGAATTGCAGGTGCATCTTGAGGAACATTAGGAAGACCAACCAATGCGTATCTTATTTCATTGAAAAATGTCATTTCATCAACGGTATAACTCTCCAAAAGGAATTTAACAAATAATTTCGCTTCAGGAGAATTTGATTTCGAAGCAATTCGATAAACACGAGCAGCTCTTTGCAAACTTGCGAAGATTGTATCGCCATCCTTACAGAAATATTCGATCATGAACTCAGGGAATCTCTGAGGCTTTTGTCCAAGTCTCTCGCGCCATTTATCTGACGTGTATTTCGCTTGGAATAATTGCCTGATCGTTGAGAAAACATTTATGTTACTTCTCGAATCTCCTTGTTCGCTATTGTGAGTTCTGATGTACTGTATGAATCTGGGGTCTTGTGATGTCATTGGGCGAACACTTAGATTGCCATCTCCGCCAATCATTGACAAGTTTAATGTGTCAAATTGTTCTGTGATGTGGATTAACTCGTCTGCACGTTTTTCGATGGCTCTAATCATCAATGAGTAATCGCATGATAACAACAATGAGTCTAGTTCTTCATTGATCTGTTGCTCGTTTGGATTTGGACTGATTGGATTATTCGCTCTTGCAAATACTTCTGCAATTGCATCAAAAGCTCTGGAAAGCTTCTGGTTGACACGTATATAAGGGTTAGGGTCAACATTTGTCCTGACTTTGCGTTTTTGACGCTGCGGAGTATGTTCATCTGGAGATATCGTTCCACTTGGGGTTTGCGGGACCTCTGCTGGCTTGACAAGCTCTTCTTCTTCGATCTGCTCATCTGGCATACCGGATTCTATGTTCTGGAGGTTTAATTTCGTTTGAAGTCTGTATTTCGTCGAAATTGCATCGGCCAAATCTCTTCTGAGCTGTGTATTGGCTTGTTCGAGTAATGCCTTTTGATCTTCGACTTCTTTAACTTGTTTTTGAAGCTTTGTTAACTGTACTTTTAATTTTGAAATTTCAGATTCTTTGTTTTGCATTTTTCTCTCAAGGGATTCATGCTTTTGCTTGAGTTCTTCAAGTGTCATGTATACAGAGTCACTCTGGAACTCAATGAAAACTCTGTGCAAGGCTTTAACGTGTTCTTCTAATTGAGCCTTTTGTTCTAAGAATCTTTTCATGGAAGAGTCGTATTCTTCTTTATTGGCTTCCATCTCTTGCTTGATCTCTGCAATTTGGCGTGCACAATCTTCTCTTGCATCGTTTACACGTTCTGTAGATGTATCTATAACTTTTGTTAAGTTTTCTTCGATGTTTTTATTATGTTCTTCGAGATCTCTGATCTTTTCACGGCATTTTTGACCATCATCTTGAAGCAAAGTGAAAATTGCGGCGTATGAATTTCTTGCTTTTTCGACAATTTCGCATCTTTCAATACATTCTGCACGTAATTGGTCTGATAATTGATCTAACAACATATCTGTGACACTCTGCAATTGGTTAGCTCTATCAACTTCATTTCCGCCGGCAATTAATCGTACTTGTTCATCGTAATTCTGAATAACTGCTAAAGCTTCGTCTCTTGTTGCATAATGATCGTTAACATTTGGTTGGGAATGAGCCCAAGTCGAATTTGATAATCTTACTGCGAAAGTTCCATCGTCTTGCTTAGTTCTTTCCATTCCTGCATCGATTAAATAACTTTGCGGTCTTGGAGGTATGACTGGTTTAATTACTTTTAGCTGTTCTGTCTCGAAAGGAAAAGGTTTTGTTTCAATTAATGTTTTTTGTTGAGTTTTTGTAACTGTCCCATGCTCTGGAGCTTCCCTACCATTTAACGAGGGCATAAAATACAGATCAAGGGATGTTCTATTAGGATTCGACATATTCTCAGCAAAAAATTTTTTGTTCGTTATTTAGGAAGATATCATAATTTTTTGATCTGATAATATTAAATGATCCTTTGGAATACACATATTTTAATTCTTCTTGTTTGCGATCAAAATATGATGAAATTTATGAGTGATGCCTAACACATGGTAAAGATGAATAATTTTCATGATCTAAAATGTAGAGAATCGAGTTTATTGATATGTTGGGTTCACCATAAGAAATTTCAAGTGTATTTATAAAATGAAATATCTTCATTTTCAATCCTACTTTTAATTGCATTAATTAAACAATTCTTGTTGCCAGCATTGGAATTCCAGATGATATTATCATCATATGAATTCAAATCAGTTTGATGCAGAATGAAGAGCAGTAATTCCATGCTCATATATTGAAATAGCTTCTGTATCATGCAAAATAATGGATTGTTAATGTCATATTACTATAATCCAGTTCCTGATTACAATTTCATACTTCTTTAGATATTTAATTTTATTATTGATCAGTTATTGATTTCCTGTGAAATCCTTTTGTATTCATTGGATGATAATATGTTCTCTATATACTAGTTGACGTTATGTGTACAGTGATATCAAATTTTATCATATTAAACTCTTCGAATGATAAAAGAAAAGAGCTAAAAGTTTCCTATAAAATAAGTCCACAAAACATCGTCACTTTTTATTTTGAATGTTTTTTGGTTTTAATACAAAAGTCATTGGTCCAAAAGAAAATAAAATTATTCCTGATGATTTTCCTGGATTTACTGATGGAATTTGCTCAAATGGAAATCAAATTGCTTTATATTCAGCAGATAAAAAATCAATTTTCTTAATTAATATAGATAAATTAGATTGGAATAGACTTAAGCTTGCTGCTTCAGAAAATCAAAAAGTTCAGTTTAGAAATATTCTTTGGATAGAAGAAAATACAAAATTACTTGCGATTCTCAAGAACATGATCATTATTTACAGCATAGAATCAGGAGAAGCAATTGCTAAAAATGGTATTGAAAGTGAAAATAACTCATATATTGATGCCGTAGTTCATGAGGGATTAATTTACGTTTTACACAGCCAAAAAACAATCAGAATTTATGATACTAATCTTGAAAAAGTTCAAGATGTTGAAATTGATTACGAGCCATCGGCAATTTGTAATTTTGGCAATATTTTCGTAATTGGATGCCAAAATGGAAAAGTTTTGATTTTCGAGAAAGGCGAAACTTTTGAAAAGACCAATGAATTCCGTGCTACAGCTTCTCCAATTGAAAATATTCAAATGACCGAAGATAAATTATTTATTTCTTCAAAAAGCGATAATGTTTTATGGAACAATAAATTTGTTCCACAATTTAGCGTCAAGTCCATCTCCCAGATAATCTATACTGATCCAACACTCAAATTTGGCCTCTCTTTAACACAAGGAAAATTATATTTCCATAAAATTGCAAAAGGTAACAAATCAGAGACTTCAGCCGTACTTCCTTTGAACTGCGACGGTCTGATCGAGAAACCTTATTTCCAATGGCTTGATGAGAACACTCTTCGCGCATTTGTCGTGACACCAATGAAATTATTTGTTATAATGTTTGAGAAACCAGCAGACAAAAACTAATAGATTCGAATAAATTGTTAATATTAGAATTTATAAAAATTATTTTCAATTTTTACACAATCCCCACCGATTGTTATTGTAATATACTGTTATATAGTTTTAAAGCGAAATCATTCTTATTAGAATGATCTTACGCTAATTATTTCTTAGAATTTCTTGCTAATAAAAAATTCGTAAAATTACAAAAGACCATTTATAAGTAACAACAAAACAATTGATTTTTAAGCTCTATTTAGCGTTATTTTCGTGAAGTGGTGGATGATGTCAATTGGTGTGCTCGTTGAATGCTTTCAGTTAGCTGATCGTATCTCTTCTTCGTTTGAGGATATGCTTTGATTTTAGCTTCACATCTTTGAACTTCAGCTTTTAATATTTCATTTTCATCTTGAAGTTTTTCGAGTTCTTCTTGATGTTTAGCAACTTTTGCAAGTAATGCATCGTATCTCTTTTTATCTGCAGATGATTCTTTCTTGAAATCTTCTTTTCTTTTTTCAGCTGAAGTTTTAAGCCGATACTGTTCATTAAACTCTCTGATAGATTGATCCATCATTGCTTTAATATCTTGTCCAGACTCTTCTTCATCACCTAATGATAATTCTGTCTCTGTTGATTTACTCATTTCTCTAAATTTTCAACGAATCCCCCAATTTATTTAGATTCCAGACCCTATATTTTTTATAAACAAGAATTCCAAAATGATGAGCTAAAGAAATGGATAAATAGAATCGTTCCCCGCTTTTTGCAACCTTAGAATCGTTCAAGAAATTTTAATGATGGAGTTTTTTTTTGACAATACTATTCAAAAAATAAGGAGTGGGGGACAAACTCGCCCATTGTCACTTTTTCATTAACCTTAAACTTGTAATTTTCATTATTTTTAATTAACCTTATTTCTTTCCCAATTCCTGATTTATTTTATTCACTTACTATTAAAAGTGTTGTAAACAGAAATTCATCAAAAGTGACACCTCAGAAAAGCTAAAATATTGAATTTTTGGAACTTTTGATAGAGCACGTTTTTAAATATTAATTAAAGTAAATGTATATTTTGTAAAGATTCTTTTTAATAAAAAAATAAAATTTTGAAGAAGAACACAAAATCTTCTGAAAAATAATATCACATAAACTCATATTATTTTCTAATATATAACTATTTTATATAAAAATCAAATTCAATGATCTTAAAAGCGAAGGATAAACCTCAAAATTTACGAATATAATGAGTGGGAATATAATGCTTATCTATCATAAAACCATATGAAATATCAATTTTTGCTTTACGCCTAATTTTTGACGACAATTAGCAAAAAATGTTAAATGTTAACACTCAGTCCATTTGAATATGAAAAATAAAATTGATATTTCATATGGTTTTATGATAGATAAGAATTATATTCCCACTCATTATATTCGTAAATTTTGAGGTTTATCCTTCGCTTTTAAGATCATTGAATTTGATTTTTATATAAAATAGTTATATATTAGAAAATAATATGAGTTTATGTGATATTATTTTTCAGAAGATTTCATTCTATATGCCTATGAAAAGTACTCTCAAAACTAACTTTTCCTAATTATAATTAAATCTAGAATATTGTATTATGCTTAGTATTATTTCATTTTTCTCATTCAATTTAGAATTTACAAATGTCAAAAAATTGAGAGCTGTCACTTTTGATGAATTTCTGTTTATTACAAAAGTCACATTTTAATAAAATATAATAATTTATTTATAGCATTTTTTACTATACTGTAATAAAAAATTAATTATAATAAATTAAATGTTTATTAAATCAAATGTTTTCTTTGCAATAATATTTTTAATGTTGAGTAAACAATGTTGGGATCAAGTGTATCATTTTTCAGACCTTTCTGAACAGCTTCAAGCATACTGATGCATTCGACTTTTTTAAATTGTGTCATTTCTTCGAAATCTCTTGTGACTTTTTGATAACTTTAACACTTCTCTCTGAATCCAGACCTTGAATTTGCAACTTAATCAGGAATGAAGGAACAACACTGGAATATAACTCGATGACAAGTTCATCGAGTCGAAGATTTAGTTGTACACCAACTTGTATGTGCCGGATACCATTGTGTCAAATTTTCTGAAATTAACTTTAAAAGTACTAAGTAAGATCATGAGATATAGCAATATATGTTTAAACCAACTTATATTTTGGTTGTACACCACTTGTATGTGCCGGATACCATTGTGTCAAATTTTTTCTGAAATTAACTTTAAAAGTACTAAGTAAGATCATGAGATATAGCAATATATGTTTAAACCAACTTATATTTTGGTTGTACACCACTTGTATGTGCCGGATACCATTGTGTCAAATTTTTTCTGAAATTAACTTTAAAAGTACTAAGTAAGATCATGATATAGCAATATATGTTTAACAACTTATATTTTGGTTGTACACCACTTGTATATACCATTGCCTGAAATAACTGTACAAGTAAGATCATTTTTTTGCATAATTAATAATATGGTCTTTTGATTTATTATTTATAAGCAAATCAGATTTACCCAAAAACTCCACTCCATAAGCGTTCATTTGCTAAATTAAAAAGTGACAATGGGCTAGTCTGTCCCTTTCTCAAAAATAAGAGATTTACATAGTCGATTGTTTTATTTTCAGACGTTGGGAATGTTCGATTAAAATCTGATGTATTCGTTCTAAACTGCAAAATTATTAGATGGAGGAAACAATTTGGTCAGATGTTTCTTTTTGAAATTTTTTGTGATGTCAATTGAAATTTTTGTTGAAATCAAAATTCATAAAACATCATGGGATTATTGTTCTCTGATACATTCAAGCACTGGTTTTCTAATAGGGAAACAAGAATACTAATGTTGGGCCTCGACGCAGCGGGAAAAACTACTGTTTTATACAGATTAAAACTAAATGAAAATGTTATGACAATCCCAACAATTGGATTTAATGTTGAGACAATTGAGTTCAAGAACTTTAATATGAACATCTGGGATGTTGGAGGCCAAGATAGGATCAGAGCATTATGGAGACATTATTACAATAATTCACAAGGACTTATTTTTGTTGTTGATTCAAACGACTACAGAAGACTAGATGAAGCATGTGAAGCATTGCACAAGTTATTGGAAGAAGATGAGATGAGGGATGCGATTTTACTTGTGTATGCTAATAAACAAGACTTGCCTAATGCAGTAAAGCCGCAAGAACTATGAATGAAACTTAAATTGAATACTATCACAAATAGACCATGGAAAGTTCAAGATTGCTGTGCCACAACAGGTGACGGTCTATATGAAGGCCTTGATTGGCTTGGCGAGCAAATCAATGAACATTTCTAAATCAAAAAAATTAGACTAAAAAGTTAAATAATTTTTTCTTTAACTATAATTATATTTGTAGTTGGGATCAATAGAAAGGTTTTATCTCTAATGCATATATGATAGGATTTTGTATTCTCTTGGGGTTCCAAAACTGTACATGCGTTTAAAATTAAATACGTGTAAACATTGCAATTGTTTTCAATTTTTGATAAAATTCGGAAATATAAATGTTGAAATGCCGAATTCAATATTTAAATATTTAAAACAGTGTACAATTCAACACAGATTTTTATTCCGTATTTTTTTTGGCAAACCCAAATTTTAGCTAAAAGTGACAGGAAAAAAAACGTTTAGTATTAAAAAAAAGACCGATGAGAGCTTCGTTCGAAATATAGAGGGAACTGAGAATGCGCAACCATTCTCAGGGAATATTGGATGCTATTCCCGTTCCCTCTGTATGGAAAATTGAGGTTTTCAAAGGGAGTTAAAATAATATCAAATTTATACTAATTTACTTCAAAATACAAAAGTATTTGACAGCTAAAATTAGTTACTTTAGCAAGCCTATCAATACCCTTTTACGATTATTGCTACTTTTTCGAAATAAAAGTAAAAACAAATTTATACTAATTTACTTCAAAATACAAAAGTATTTGACAGCTAAAATTAGTTACTTTAGCAAGCCTATCAATACCCTTTTACGATTATTGCTACTTTTTCGAAATAAAATAAATTTATTATCAAAAACCTTTTTTTCTTAGTAAAAATAAAAATGTTATTTTATATCAAGTTTTTATTCATAAATTTTTATAATGTTGTATAAATTTGAAGGTGGAAATCTGTAATAATTTTATCTTGAAAAGACTTGGCATTCTCAACAATGAATTGAGGGGTATTGCATCCAAATTCTGTAATTTGCGTGAGAATACTAAGCTTGATTTCCATTGGGATACTTAATTTCGAAAAATACTGGGTCATTCGTTTTTGAACCTTTGCTGCCTTGACAACTTTATCAAGTAGGTCATCTAAACCCAATTGAAGCGTATTTAAGTTTGCTGATGAGTTAACTATTAACGATTTAATTTTATCAGTGAGCATTATACATTTTTCTGTATCCAGTCTGATTGTAGACTTTTTTGGCTTTTTTTCAGATGGCAACGGATTTGGAATTTTGTCTCTGAGCCTTATATCTTGAGAAATTCTGTAATAAAATGAAGGAACGATAAAATCGATTAATTTCATCACAAATCGATCAAATCTCATGAAAATTGTTCCGCCAAAGTAGTAATATTTAATTTTTTTGTTAATCGATTCTGAAATGTTATTTGTGAGAGCTAAATTTTCATCTCTTTCAGCGGCTGTCCATCTTTCTTGGTTTGATATCCATTGATTTTGTATGTATTTTGAAAATTCTGGGAATTTTTCGGCTATTTCCAGAATTTTTTTGAACGTTGGTTCAATCCATTCTTTCTTGCCATTTCTGCCGTATGCAAGATAGTTCATTTTTGTATCTAATATCAATTTGTCTGAACTCTCAAATGCATAATCTTTCAAATTTTTTCTGAACGCCCTCATTACATGAACTGCACACCAATGAAGGATAACTTCTGGAAAAGAGTTGATAATCGCATTTTCGATTTCTTGTGCACAATCTGACATAAAATATTTTGGTTTTACTTTTGCCCAGTTAAAAAATGCCTTGAGACAGAATGCAATATTTTCTGAAGTGTTTGGATAAACGACAAATTGAAAAATTGGGAATGCATGTGTATTTGGAAATTTGGCTGATATCATGTAAAACAACATTTTAAATTCAAGTAATGAATGGGTTGCATCAATAAAATGCTCTTTCACAATTTTGATTATGTCCAGAAATTTGAAAGAAGCATAATAAAAGATTAATTTCTTTGGTTTGTTGTAATTATCGACATCGAAATAAATTAAATCTTTTGGTGACTCTTGTTCTTTGATACCCTTAAATAATTGAGTTGACTTGAATTGATTATCATCGTACTTTTGAATACCTTTGATCTTTTTATTTCCTTTTTCCTGAATTGTTTTCATTTGATCTGAAGATGCATTCAAAAAAGATGGCCTGTTAAGTGGATCATCCAGATCAAGTTTTTTGTCGCATTCAATTTGAGCCATTTTCGGATCACCCCCCTGTTTTATAAAATTAATAAGTACCCGACGATAGCATTGTGATAATGTGTGGTATTTCTTTGTCTCATCTTTGATTTGATTGTGATTATGTGTTCCATTATATTCTGTTAGGATATATTCTTCATCATCCTTTAGAAATGAGATACATGCTTCACATTTATCTGCACTGCACCTGAATTTTAATTTTGTTCCCCCTAAATTTGGATTTTTTTTTAATTGATATGGACAACCTGCATGGCATTCGTTATCAATGACAGCTTTCATAGCATCTATATAAGATAGCCTTTCTTTAAGTTCGCATGGTGCATCGATATGCATCAAAAAAATGAAATGAAATTTCAATATCAAAAAAAGCACAAAATTTGAAAAAATTCACAAATCTCGGTTTCTGAAAGAAAATGGCCTCTTAAACTTTGTGCATATATTCATCTATAAGACACATTGTATCCATATATTATTTAGCCAACACAACTTATCTGGTATCGAGAAAATTCAAAAAAAGCACAAAATTTGAAAATTGCTCGGTTCAACATTCAAAATAAATTTCATTAATTTTTACGTACATATTAAGGTACTTATCTTCTACATATATAATCTTCATTAGATATATACATGATAAATAAAATTCATAAAACATTAAAAATCAAAAAATTAGATGAACCTTGGCAATTAAACTTTATTAAATAATAGTTGTTTATAAATTATATTATATTATCATTTAATATTATTTTGATAATGAAGATTTTATTTTGCAATAATATAAACAAAATTTTTTACCTTATGAACTTTTGATGGAAATATGCAAATTTAAAATAATAAAGAAAGCCGCGAGCGAATCGAGCGGCTTAGTTCGAAGATTTTGATTCAAATCTTTGCTGATCTGTAATTCGCGGAAGCCGCGAGCGAATCGAGCGGCTTAGTTCGAAGATTTTGATTCAAATCTTTGCTGATCTGTAATTCGCGGAAGCCGCGAGCGAATCGAGCGGCTTAGTTCGAAGATTTTGATTCAAATCTTTGCTGATCTGTAATTCGCGGAAGCCGCGAGCGAATCGAGCGGCTTAGTTCGAAGATTTTGATTCAAATCTTTGCTGATCTGTAATTCGCGGAAGCCGCGAGCGAATCGAGCGGCTTAGTTCGAAGATTTTGATTCAAATCTTTGCTGATCTGTAATTCGCGGAAGCCGCGAGCGAATCGAGCGGCTTAGGTCTAAGATTTTGATTCAAATCTTTGCTTATATTCCTTAAATTCTTTATGAAACTCGCAACAGTTCCATAAAAAATTTTAAATTCTAAACTGTCGAAATTACCGATCGGTCATCACACCCTTCACGGGTGTGTCACTTTTAGCTAAAATTACCCCTACTCTTCAGTATGATCCATTCAATTTTTGTTAACCCCATAATTATCTTTGCCAGGTTGCTAAATGCTTATTTCATTCTTGCAATTAGCAACATCAACTGAATATGAAACTCCAACTATGGGGTGGAGTTCGTGGAATACTTATCGTGTTCATATCAGCGAAGAATTAATTAAAAAGCAAGCTACAGCTATGGCAGAAAAGGGGTTAAAAGAGAAAGGCTATAAGTATATAAATATCGATGATGGATATTTCGGAGGTCGTAATGAAACGACAGGTCAGCTTTTAATTAACCCTGAGAGATTTCCAAATGGTTTAGAACCGGTAGTCACTCATATCCACAACTTAGGTTTCAAGGCTGGCATATATTCAGACGGCGGAAGAAATACTTGTGGTAACTATTATGATGCCGACGTACTTGGAAAGGGAGTTGGACTATACGCTCATGATGATCAAGATGCAGATCTCTTTTTCAACACTCTTCAATTTGATTTCATCAAATTGGATTATTGTGGTGGCGATCCAAATCAGAACTCTGAGAGATTAAACCTTGATGAACAAACAAGATACACATCTATTCGTAAGGCTCTTAATAAAATTACTCGTAGTATCAGAGTTAACGTCTGCAGATGGGCATATCCAGGTTCTTGGGTTACAAAGCTTGCCACATCATGGAGAATCAGTTCAGATATCGAAAATAACTTCGATGCCATCAAAAGACTTATCAACGTCAACATGTTTTACTCGGCATACGCTGTTGAAGGCCATTACAATGATATGGATATGTTAGAAGTTGGCAGAGGCATGAGCGATGATGAAGACAAGACACACTTTGGTATGTGGTGCATTATGTCCTCACCTTTGCTTATTGGCTGCGATATGACAACAATTAAAGACAGTACACTCGAATTACTCAAGAATGAAGAGCTTATTGCACTCAACCAAGATCCACTTGCTCTCCAAGCTCAATTAGTTGAAACTCAGAGCAATACTTTTATTTTTGTTAAAGATATACTTGAATATCATAGTACAACACGTGCATTTGCTGTTTATAATCCAAGTGATAGCGAACAAACCGTTAACATCAACTTCGAATCACTTGGACTCTCAGGAAACATCAAAGTTAGAGATGTTTATGCAAAAAGTGACGTCGGAACTTATCCATCATCTCAACCATTTTCTGTTAAAGTGAACAAGCATGGCACAAGAATTTTCACCATCTCCGGCGAAACGAGACTTGAACAAGTTAGATATGAAGCAGAAAACTCATGGATTGAAAGAGGATCCGCAATCACATCTGCTCAAGTCGCAAGAGTTGACAGTGACAGCTTATGCTCATTAGGACATAAGGTTACATACATCGGCGGCAATGAGAATGATAACTATATTGAATGGAGAGACGTTTACAGCCAAAATGGCGGAAAATATAACATGAAGATTGCTTTCTTATCAGGAGAAGACAGGATTTTGAGAGTCATTGTTAACGGAAAGACTAATGTCTTGAAACTAAACGCAGGAAGTTGGACTGCTGTCGGTACAAAGACTATTGAAATCGAACTCCAGAAAGGATCTAATGTAATTCGTATGGATAACCCTATTTCATTCGCACCTGATATTGATTACTTTGAAATAACACCAGTATAAAATTTAAATAAAATAATAAAATTTAAGTATATCTATAATATAAGCTTAGTTTTTGAAACTCCACCACATATATCCAGGCTGAAGTTATAATTGGATTGTATACATTGGCAAATTTTATATGGAAATTTCGATTAAATTTTCATATTAGAAAGAAAAGAGATAAATCTTATGTCAAACATTTTACAAATTCAATGGATGGGAAAATACTGGGTTAAAAGGAAAAATTTTCGCCAATAACATAAACTTTGCGAATATATGTAGGAAGTAGTTAATCACAGAAAACATAGAATCTCCTGATTTATCTGTTGAAATTCTTAATACTTTCTAAGTGTTTAACTGTATTTTGCTAAATCTGAATCTCGACTTGAGCATTTAATGAAATTTAGAAATTGAAATGATAAATACATTCTAACGATATCGTATTTTTAAAGTATAATATCTCAAAAATATAAGTTAATTTTGCAAATATAAAAATTTGATGATTTTTGAAGGTATATTACTTGTTTTAGATACACCATTAAATGGATGATTTAAATTCATTAGGCTTTGAATGGAGTTTATAGTTTCTTATGCTCAATTTGTAAATATTTAACATTTTTTCAAACTAGCTCAATAATATTGAGGAACCAATAACAAGTGAATTTGGAGTTTATCGAAGATTTTCAAAATATCCGTTTTTAATAAAATAATAAAATTGATGGAAATGAATTCAATGTATTCTGCAATTGTTTCCTCAAATTAAAGTAAATTTGGAGTTCATTCAATTTTGATAGTATTTAAGTAATATATTCAAAAAATATTTAATGTAAAAAATATTAGATATAAAATTTAATATAAGCTACTTTACTAATCAATTGTTTTATTTCTATAAACTTTCTGAAGAAACCAATAAAAAAATAATATCGATTAAAAAATGTTTATTTATTGAATAGATATAGAAATATCAGCTTTATTTATCACTACAGTTGTCTTCTCAAATGTTAAAATGAAAATTTCCCATTCAATTTGACATCTCAAAAAATTCAAGTTATCTTTAGAACTAAAGTGTACAATGAACAATATTTTTATAAAATTATTTGATAATTGAATACAAGAAAATATACAGTTATTTTTTCTGTGGCTCATTAAGGAATTATATTTTAATTTTAATAGATATCTCGCGTCAAATCTGATTTAAATCGATTTTGCACGTAAAACTTTGAAAAATCAATTTTGAATCTTCATGAGTGCAAAAGTTGGTAATGATTCAGCAGTTGAGGACGAAGGATACTCTGTATTTCTTCAAGAAACAAAAGCAAAATTGATTCTATTTGACCCAAACTTAACGAAACTGGAGATATACAATAAAGCTGCGGATTTATGGCATAAACAGCCAACAAAAGCTAAAATGGAATACAGACGAAAATCTCGACTCCGATTGCCTCGTAAAAAGAAAAGCGATGGATCAGATAGTGAACTTGGTTTCGATAATGAAGCAAAACCAAAAAGAATATCTGCATATTCAGTTTTTGTGAATGAAAAACAACAGGAACTAAAACTCACAAATCCGGATCTTACTCTCATTGAAAGATCAAAATTAATTAAAGAAATTTGGAACTCAATGAGTAAAATGGAAAGAAGTCATTATGAAAATAGAGCTAAGTGCTTTAATAGGAATTTAGACAAATACTCAAGCGATGATTAAAATGTATAAAATTTAAAAATAATAATTTAATTAGTTTATAAATTCTGATTATTGCCATTGCAATTCATTAAACAATTCCGAGGTGTTCTCATACTACAAGTAAAATATGTTGAAAGACCATATAAAAATAAAATTTGATATAAGTCTTAATTTTCTTCAAAATGAAAAATCTGTGCATACTTTCCTGAGATTTGTATGCATTGTTTCAAATTAATATCTATTTCAACTTGAAAATAATGGGATATCTAAATACAAGGTTAATCGCTAATAGATATTTGATATTATTGAATATTTGTTATATATACATGATAGCGGTTTTGTTACTATGCAATAAAATGATGAAACAGCTTTGTTATTTATTAGTCTCGATTTGAATTCAATTTTAAGCTCTAAGCAATGAAAGTTGCAATAGTAAATGCAAAGCTGTGATTAGTCAAATATATTATGATACAAAATTTTAAGACATATTTAAAAATAAAAAAAATGAGTTGTAATTCGCAAATAATTTCATTTAATATCAAATAATATTATCAGAATAACAATATGGATTAATATCCATGTTAAAATATCTACTAAATATTCGAAGAAATAATATTCCTTAAAATGATGCGACTAATAAGAGAAGTCGTGATTGCCTGTAGAAAATATGAAAAATCCTTCTTAATAATCTTAAATTTGTGGATAATTTTGATTTCTATCGATTGAGACTTTTTTTTCAATGAGCTTCAATAAGATTGTATGAAGGGTGATTGCACATATAGTTGAGATGTATTTCTGACAACCTTTTGTTTTGATACTGGAGTGATTGAATGGACTTTGGTGCGGTATGACGAGAAAAGTGATATAAAGTGAATGTAAACTCACCAACTTCAGAATTTGAGAGAGTATTTCCAACAGTATTCCATGCTCTCTGTTCTGCTTGTTCTATCTGTGACAATGTGGTTTGATCGGTCTCTTCGGTGGTATTGCATCTGAAATTTCTCCAAAGGTTGCATTCGTTGCGAAGTTTTTCGATGACTGTATCATATATTGGCATCAATGTTACGTGTAAATCAACAAAATCTAATTCAGCTTGGCTAAGATCACTTTCTGCTTCTTCATCTGGGTGTAGATCTCTGAGGTGCTTCGATAAATTGAAGATTTCTTTTTGATATTTAATAGCATCATGCCAATATGACGAATTTTTCTTTACTTCATACATCACTCGTTTGAAAGGTTTGTTAAGTGAATCTATGTCCATCATTTTGAGGAATTCCTTATCGAAATCTTTCAAAAGCAATGCCAAGTCATCCAGTGTTTTCTCCATTTTGAATCAATGACACTTTTGATCGCTCTATTGAAAATTTTCTGTACAATTATATTGGTTGTTGTTATTATCGAGTCCAATATGTTTTGATTTTTTTGTAAATATTTGAATTTATCATCGGTAATAAAGTGGCATTTATAAATTTTGTTTAAATAATTGATATTGTGTTGAATATGGAATATTCATTTGAATATATTAACAAAAATTTGTATCAAAATTTTTGTAAATTAAATTGAAAACATTAGTTACTTGGATATATTGCTTTAAATAAGAATATCAATAACATGTAAAAATTGAATTTATTCCCCATTAAAGCTCCACTTTTCCTCTCAATTTTGAGAGTATATTCAATTTTTAAAGGACTTTGCGGGTCTCAATATTGCTATTCTAAGAGCCATAGAGTAAACTGTCTATAGAAACATCTATCCACTATGGCTTGCGCGTATAGAAAATATAGTATTATTGGATGAAAGAAATTTCAAAATCTTAGAGCCATTTAAAAAACGGTATGACTAATTTTCATTAATAAGAATTCGATATAGTTGATATTTCTGGTTGCTAAACAAGAATTCTGAGAAATAAATTAAAAAAAAACTACCTATAGCAGTATCATTAATCCTTCAGATCTATCGCTACATTCAGATGATAACAGCACAAAGAAAATGTTGTCAGATGTGAAATATACCTACATTTTTCCCCTTATTTGTGGGCTTCTTCCTCATAATTTGATAAAAATATTGAATTTGATCATGAATAAATATTTTTTAGTTTGTATGAGTAGATTTAAAGCAAAATACAAATCATATAGGCAAGCAGTTAATCAAGTTAATATAATCTGATAGTAATGAAGTTCTTTGTATTACGGACTGACATGAATATCCGTTGCATATAGTGCTACCTGATCTTTATTACATTTGCATGTTTCTTCTTCTTTTGTATTATGATGTCAATATCCAAATAAGTATTTATTATTTTTTTCTTTTTTAGTTTTTTATCCACTTTAATTGACTTCAGGAAGGCCTCTACTTCATCTTTTCCATGAAAATGTGCAATAAAAAGAATTGACCAACCGTGTCTTGTTAAAGCATGAACATCTTCATGATATTTGATTAGAAGTTTGACATTATCAATTTGGCCTTCTCTGACTGCAACATGAAGGGGGGTTTCAAAATCACTATTTTTTGCCTCAATTTTTGCACCATGCCAAATGAGGAGTTGTGCTATTTCATTACTCGAATTTTTTACTGCAAAATGAAGAGGAGTCCATCCAGTAACATCAGGTGAGTTGACATCTGCCCCATGCGATAAAAGAAATTCGGTGACCTCTTTTTTCCCATTTTCTGCTGCAAACTGAAGAGGAGTCTTTTCATTATTTACAATTGAGTTGACATTTGCCCCATGTGATATAAGAATTTCAGCGACCTCTTTTCCCCATATTTTGCTGCATAATGAAGTGGGGTATACCATTCATTACTTAGGGATGCGTTAAACACGCCATTTGACCGGGCGTACATTTTTTTTGTTCGCCCAAAAATTTCGCCATTTGAGAAATTCAAAAATTAAAAATAAAATTTTAATCTTGATTTTTTTATTTTCGTGATTTTTTTGAAACTTACATAAGCGATGAAATACTTTTTTTAAGTAATCGTTTATTATATATAAATATATCTTAATAAAATTAATTCCTTAAGGTAGAGCGTGTTCAAATTGAAAATCTCATACAATATTTTCTTAATGGCGTATTTTTCTGAGGTCGCCCACATAAAGGCGAATTCAAAATTGAGAACTCCAAGGCGTACGGCGAGTATTCAAAATGTACGCCACTTACAAAATATTGAATGTGGATTATCAATTTTTTGGCGTGTTCAATTTCAAATTTTGATATTTATGTTTATTTTATTCAGTATAATGCTAAGAATTAAAATATAAAATTCATAGAATTTTTTCTTTGAAAATATTTTACATTTTTATTAGACCACTCCTAGACTAGTCATCAGGTTATCCTCAGATCATCCTCAGACTACTCCTTATCAGATTACTCATCATCCTCAGACTACTCCTTAGACCCCTCCTCATCAGACTACTCCTCAGATCTTCCTCATAAGACTCCTCCTCAGATCTTCCTCCTGAGACTACTCTTCAGACTACTCCTTAGAGTCCTCCTCATCAGACTAGTCCTGAGACTAGTCCTCAGACTACTCCTCAAACTCCTCAGACTACTCCTCAAACTCCTCAAATTATCCTCAAACTCCTCAGACTACTCCTCAAACTCCTCAGATTATCCTCAAACTCCTCAGATTATCCTCAAACTCCTCAGACTACTCCTCAAACTCCTCAGATTATCCTCAAACTCCTCAGACTACTCCTCAAACTCCTCAAATTATCCTCAGACAACTCCTGAAACTACTCCTCAGACAACTCCTCAGATTATCCTCAAACTCCTCAGACTACTCCTCAAACTCCTCAGATTATCCTCAAACTCCTCCTCAGATTATCCTCAAACTCCTCAGACTACTCCTCAAACTCCTCAGACTACTCCTCAAACTCCTCAGACTACTCCTCAAACTCCTCAAATTATCCTCAGACTACTCCTCAAACTCCTCAGATTATCATCAAACTCCTCAAACTACTCCTCGGTCTAATCCTCAGACTCCTCCTCAGATTATCCTCAGATTGTCACTTTACATATATATATCGATAACTAAATAATTACTTATTATACTTTCTTTATTTTTTTTTAATTTTAAAATAATATTAATATATCTTTCTACGTTTAATGATGAAAAGAGAAAGAGGAGTAAAAAGAGGAAAGAGAAAAGAAAGAGAGAGAGAGGAAAAAAAAGAGAAAGAAAAAAAAAGGACGGCGATAATTTTGTATTGTTTTGTTATTCGGCCGAATGGCGTATTATTCTATTTTTAAACGGTCATGGCGTAAAACCGTCGCATCCCTACATTACTGGCGTTGACATCAGCTCCATGAGAAATAAGGAAATCTGCTGTTTCTTTACTATTCCCCATCGCAGCATACATAAGTAGAGTTGTTTTCTCAGTCCATAATGTTTGGGTTGAAGCGCCTTGTGACAAAAGGAATTCTAGTGTTTCTTTGCTATTATGTAATGCTGCAACTTTAATAGGCGGCATATGTTTGTTATCAAGATCGTTGATAAGTGCACCATGTGAAATGAGTAATGAGGCAATTTCCTTCGCATTAGCTCGAGCTGCATAATGAAGTGGAGTTTGACAATTTTTATCATTAACATTTATTTTTGCACCACCTGATATAAGAATTTTTGCTATTTCTAGGCAGTTATTTTCTATAGCATAATGAAGTGGGGTTCTAAAATTAGAATCAAATACGTTAACATTGGCACCATGTGCAATAAGAAATTGTACTCTTTGCGTGTTTTTTTCAAGAATTGATAAATGAAGAGCTGTTAACTTATCAGTTGTTGTAGCATTAGGATCTGCGCCATGTGAAAGAAGATATCCCCAGAGACCTTTGATGTTGAAATGAATTGAAGCAGGAAAATGTTCGCCGATAGTTTTAGATTGATCCAAATGTACCAAAAATGCTAAGATATTATTATATTCAATACAAGATCCTAAATCAATAGTTTGTTCTTTCTCATTGACCAAGAAAGAAATAAAGTCAATATTATGTGAAATGATCGCATATGGCATGGAATAAAAATATATGAAAAAATCGTCCTGATTATTTATGCATTCGGCAATAATGTCTGGATTCCCGCTCAAAAATGAATATTGACCACAGCAATGAGTAATTTTTGAGTTAAATTTTGTTCTTAAAAACTTAAAACAATTAACAGACCCGTGATAACAACATAATTCAAGTAATGAATATTTGTTATCATAATTGGTATTTCGATACGCGTAAACATAATCTGGATAGAAGTCGCTCATATATTTTTGATCTTCACAAAATCCTTCTCTCTCTGTAAAAGCAATAAATGCTTGTAAATCATCATCCATAATTGCCTTGAAAATGGTGTCCTCTTTATGGATGCATAAAATATCTTGAGGATCTTGATTTTTTCTTTTTCTTCTTGGATAGCATCTAAGAACTTATAATACACTTTATTAAGTTTGCTTTCTTTATAAGATAATATTTCCGTCTGATATGAAATATATTCGTCAAATATTTTTTTGAACAATTTAAAGTAAGACATAAGATATTTGTTATTAAATATTGCTGCATTTGAAATAGATTTACAAAAAGAAACCTCCGATGTCAAAAACTTAGAATGGTCATTTTTTTATGATCGATGAGATGCATAAAAAAAGGAGATAATTATCATAAAAATACTTTACAAATATTTATAAACAAATATACTATATATAACTTACAATATATATATATATTATATAAACTTATTCAATGTGAATTCTTTCTTGAGATTTCTTCGATTCCAAATCCTCGAATCTTTTCTTCATTCTTTGTATTTCTCTCGTTCGTCCTTGTTTCGTCAATGCTTGTTCTACTTTAGTTATTGCGTCTGTTTTGTGATTCAAATACAGCCAAGACGTGTATTTCACAAAGTTCTCGTCAATCATTATCTGAGTTGCTTCACTAACTTTGTGTTTTGTTATGTATTCGAACACTTTTCCCATGTCAAAACCGACAGACAAAGCAGTATCGAAATGACCAGCGTCAATCAAAGATTTCATTGCCATCAAACGAGTCTTCAAATTACTCATTCTACTTCCCAACTCACCGGCAACATTTGAATGCCCGATTTTAGTTAACAAAACAATTATATTCGGTATTAAAAGTTTTTCTCCATTAATTATCAAAGAATCAAAAGGAGGTAAAAGAGAAACAACATTCAAAACAGTCTGGAATATTGTTTGTTGCCTGGATTTAAATGGCTTAGTATGCAGCTCTTTGTTTATCAAGTCTTCAACACTTGACCCGATAACTTTCAAAATTGAATTGAAAACGATAGGATTTCTGATAATTTGGCGGTTAGCGATTAAAGGAACTAAATGTAATACTTCTAATTTTCTTTTTTCAGCAAGTTTCGGAAGAATTTCGATGATTTTTTCATCATTTTGGATGTACAAATATATTCTAATTAACAATGCCCATCCTTCATCTAAATAATCTTCCAAAACTTGGTCAATATTCTCTGGATTAAACAAATCCAAATCAAATTCTTTTTTGGCAAAATAACTCGCATGTGCACAAAAAAGTGACTTTGTATATAAATCATCCAAATTCTTCATATCATTTGTAACATATCTCATTATTGTCTCTTCATCACCAATTCCAAACATACACAAAATAGACCTTGCTATCATTCTCGGCGTAATTTCATCATGTTCTCCTTTTTCAACATTATTTTCATGGGAATAAATACAAATTTTTTCATGAGAATTTGTACTACTCATTCCTTGATATCTTGTATTTATTTTCTCTTGGGAATTTACAAGATTTTCTTGTGAATTTGTACTACTTATTCCCTGTGATTTTGTGTTAATTTTTTCTTGAGAATTTGTGTTAATTTTCTCTTGAGAATTAGTACTAATTTTATCTTGAGAATTAGTACCACTCATCATCTGCGAATTTGTGTTGATTTTTTCTTGGGAATTTATGGCACTTTTTATTTGAGATCTCATGTCACTTTTTGATTTAAGTTTAAATTCAATTTTTTGTTTCAAGAATTTCAAGCCTTCACCAGGGTTTTGAGTTCGAAGTAAGAAGAGACATTTTGATACTACTTCGTTATCAGCGTTTGTTAATATTTCGTCGTTTGTTGTTCCATAAATTTTGAATTCATCTTCTTTTAATTCAGGATAATCTTCGTTTAAATATTCCATCAACAAATTCCACTTCAATGATCTCAAGTCTATTTTGTAGCTGCTTGCAATTTTCTCAACAATTTTGTGTAGTCTTCTTCCGTGTGTCTCGTGTAACTCTATTTTGTTGTAAAGAGATCTAATTAATTTAACAGGATTAATTAGCAAATCTTGTTCAGCAAAAGCGGACAAACCATTCTTGTTTAGATCCATGGCTATCTGTGTCATCAATTGCTCTTTTACAAGACCAATTAATTGATAGAAAAGTGACAAATCTTCTTTATTTAATCTCGGCGCTAAAACAGTTAATAACTCTTTATGCGTTCTGTCTTTGAGCGAGAAGATTAAATCTCTGTAGTCATCGATAAAAGGGGATGACATCTTGTTTACTATCACGTAAACAATCAATTCGTCGCTTCCAACATCACAAAAATTCGCAACGTTCAAGAGACCGTTCAGAGTGTCGTTATTTACATGGTTTTGGAGAGTCTGAAGAGGGTTCTCCATCAATTCATGGAAATTGACGCTGTGTTTCGGTCCATCGTATAAAGATACTAAGATATTAAGCTCTCTCTTCCTGTCCTGGCCTAGTTCTTCCAACATGGAGTAGCAGTAGGCTAAAAGAGAGTACTGGCAGCCGTCAAGAGTCAAAATTACGTTCTCCAAATAATCTTTCGCGTTTTCAAAGGATAATTTACGTAGCTGCGTGGAGGCTCTTGATACTCTATCAATATCCCCGGAGCAAAAGTCTTCTTTGAATACATCGAAATCATAATTTTCGATATCAGGAATAAAAATACGACTTGCATCAGTCAAACCTTTCTCAATGAGGGATTCATTGATTTCTATGAGATCCTTCTTTGTTTTCATGATGTCAAATATATCATTTTGTAAATTTTTGTTGTCAGGAAAATTTTTAAAAACTTCTAAGAGTCTTGCATAGATTAATACAGTATCCAAGGAGTCGTACTTGATCAGGGTGAATACGTTTTGCAAGCAGTCATGCCAGAGCTCGATAATTTCCTTCAGAGGAGTAAATGGTAAACATTCGAACATACAGCTTTCAGTAAACTGATAAAATACGTTTGAATTCCATCTAGTAATATATTGTAATATTTTCGGCAAAATTACTTGGCCATTTTGTGCGTAATTATGGTTTTGAGAAATAATATCCATTAATTCGTTGGTATTTAGGGCCAATACCTGAGAAATCGTTACCATGTCATCCCAGCCATTACGAGAAATCAGTTTGTAGAAGATTTCCTGGCGAGAAAATAGCTTAGAATATCCATCATATGAAATTACGATTCCGTATGTACTAGCGAGGTCATATATTGGTCTAATCTGCTTTAAATTTCTGAATTTCTTGAGTTTGAGTGCGTATTCCTCAGGATCTTTTGGATTGCCATCAGCAATTGAAGAAAAATGGCTCAAAGAACCTAAAGAACTCAATGACAGATCGATAGAAGGTGATCTCTTGTATCCAATCGGCTGAGAAGCTTTCCTTGTTACAGTGTTTTTTTCCGGTAAACTTGAAACACTAAAATTTGCAAGGGATTCTGACCTTTGTACAGGCATGTAGGAAGAGATACACTTAGAGAATATGTCGGGGTCTGGATTGTAATCGATGTTGTTCTGTTGCGCGTATTCTTCGATCTGTTTATACTCTGATTCTCCGGAAAATTGAAGGATTTGAAGGGCTTTTTGCTTCGTTGTCGTACTTTTCATGAACTCTGTAATGATACTGAGCTTGCTCTTTATGTCCCAGGTCTTTTTAGCAATGCCTTGGTAAATTATTGGTTCAATTGTGATTGAATTTAGTTCACAGTAAGGAATTATCTGCGTTCTTAGACATCTTACGAGTTTGTTTGGTCTGTCACATTGACTAATCATCTTTATGACGAATTCTGACTTATCTAAATTTGTATAATCGTTTAATGTAAGGTCAAACTTAAATTCTATAAGTTCTCTGCATTGCTCGCGATATTTCATAAGACTTTGCCATGAAGTTGTGTAATCATTTCCTCTTGTTGTCGTTGAATTTTTTAAGATTTTTTTCATTGTTTCTTTATTTAAGCGAATTTGATCTAATATGTGTGGTTTAGCATTTATATAACTCGAAACCGTCGAATTTACGAACGCTGTTGATAGTCTAGCATTTTCAAGATCTAATGCAAAAGAAGCAATCCATTTTATTGGACATCTTGGGATTATATTGATTAAATGTTGTATATACGTAATTCCTGGATGTTGTTTTGGCTTAATATTCGCAAAAAAAGTTAAAAATATATCTAAAATTTCAGGATGACGTTCCATAAGTGTCAATATCTTAGTAATATTTAATTTTTCGAGATACGGACCTATTGTTTCTGCTAAATTTGAATTAATAAAATCTTCACATTCGTTTTTATTGAAATGCTCGTGAATAATGCAGTAAGATCCGAACTTCCGGGTCTTTTCCAGATCATCAGCGAGCGAGTGAGCCATTTCTTCAGCAGCAATTTCTTCGTCAGAAGAGATTGTTGACGAAAATTTTTCACTCATATAAAAATTGATTTTAAAAATAAAAGTGCGATTATTTTTCTCTCAAATAAAAATATTTGATCACTTGTTTTCTTCTGCTTTTGTAATAACAAATATTTTTGAAAATTTTGGCAAAAAATTTGTAACAGAAAATTCATTATACAAAAAAACTGATTAGATTATTTCATATTGACCTTCTAAATGTGGGGAATCTTTTCCTCATAATTTCAAGGTTAGACAAAAAGTGACACTTTCAATAGGGAGTAACATTTAAAAAGTGACAATTTAAAATTCACAATAAATAAAAATAATAAATTTTTTAGTCTATTAAATTATTCTTTTCTTTGAAATCCTCCAAAAATTCTTCGAAATGTTCTAAAATATAACCTGGAGAATTATAACAAAATTCATTAATTTCTAACATATACGTATCTAACAATTCATTTGGAATTTCAAACGATCTTAAATATGTAATTGAATTTTGTATCTTCTCATTTATTTGAGAAAGTTTTTCTTCAGCATTTTCCAATAAAAATCTTAATGGATTCAAATTGGCTTCTTGATTCTGAACAAAATTTAATACTTGGTATAAACGTGATTGAACTTCTCTTTTCAATTTTGTTTTATAATCTGTCAATCGAGGCTCGCGAATTCTAATTGAAGGAATAAAACCTGTTTGAAGTAAATCGTTTTTAATACGATAAAAGTAATTGGGTGCAACTTCTTCTAAAAGATTTTTGACAAAAACATCAATTCTTTGATTTTTAACGCAGCCAAAATCGTGATATTTTATCTTTTTAAATAAAGATTCAGAAACGTTATTCACAACGGTTAATTCATTTGGTCCGGCAGCGGCTATCCACTGTTGTTTATGAATGTCCCACTGACGTGTAAAGTATTGATTAAATTCCAATTGATCTTGAATTTTATCAATAATGTGCTCTTTATACATTTTTGCAGCATCTTCTTCTGTGCAATCACGATAATAACATAAAATGTTCATAAATTTTTCGACTTCTGATCTAATCTCTTCATCATTTATCTTTGAGAGATTCTTTTTAAGTGCGCGTATTACATGTAGCGCGCACCAAAAGATATTGCACTCCGGAAATGAATTCCTAATCCCGTTGAAAATGTTTAGTGCACAGTCAGACATGATAAATTCAGGTTCTGTGTGAGTTGTTTCAAAATATTTACTTAAGCAAAAAGAAATATTTTCACTATTATCTGGATATATTATAAAATAACACAAAGGGATAGAATGAGTATTAGCAAATTTGGTAGCTAATACATAAAAAGGAAATCCATGAATAATTAATTTAAACGTAGAGTCTAAGTGATAAATTGGTGGTTTTTCATGAATTTGAGAGATCATATCATTATCAGAGTAAATAAAAACCAATTTGTCTGGAAAATCAGTATCTTCACCTTGAATGTCAAAATAAATAAGGTCATCATGTTGATCTTCCCATTGATTAACATAGTTTTGTAAAGATTGAAATTGATTTAAAGATATGTCTGGTAAAGATCTCATAAGATCTTTTTGTTGTAAATAATATTTCAATTGATTGATTGCAGTTTGTTTCATAGTCATGTGAATACAAGTATGATCTTTAGGTATTTCAAGCGTTTTGTTGACTTCTTGTGTTGCATTAAGTGGACTTCCGTGATTCATGAGAAATTTTTTAATCCAAGCACGGTAAGTACCACTTGTAGGTGTATTTTTATGTTGTGGTGGTGGTCCTGAGTGAATATAAGTTAAGTTTGCAGATTTAAAAATGTAATTGTCGAAATTTTTAATAAATTTAAAGCCTGCTGGGCAGCCTTCGTATTCGCATCGGTGGTAGATTAATACTCCTGTTCCAATTGATAGTTTTTGTGGGTCTTTGACAAATCTTATGTTACCATGCAGCTCTGCAGCTATAACAAACGAGAATATTCTAAATATCCTATGGCTTGATCAACCTCGCATGGAGGATCGGGTGGAGGATGTTGCATTGAGCAGCAAAAAGGAAAAATAAAATTGAAAACTTACATTGAAAAAATAACGGTTTAATAGAAAAATTTTTTTTCTTCTGAAAAAGAATTATCTTTGAGTATCTAAATTGGGATAAAGGATATAGAATAGATAACTAGTACTTAATATATGATACATGTACACGAAATGGAAGAATGTGTACTAAAAGAAAGAGAATTTTAGCTTAATATTTTACATACGAATCAATTATCTTTGGTTAAAAGGTAGAATTGTTGGCTATGATGTACTGATTCATGATCAGTACATCATAGCCAACAATCCCTTATACAAAATTCAAAAACTTGGGTGCAATCAGTTCTGATTGCACCCAAGTTTTTGAACTTTCTTGAGGGAATTAAAGGGTGAGAGATTTATAGTCTATCTATATATCTCCCACCCTCTAATTCCCTCCCTGACAGCGGGAAACTTTGTCTGAATGTTAAACTATTCAGACAAAGTTTCCCACTGTTTGCGAAGGAATTGTTGGCTATGATGTACTGATTCATGATCAGTACATCATAGCCAACAATTCCTTATATAAAGTTCAAAAACTTGGGTGCAATCAGTTCTGATTGCACCCAAGTTTTTGAACTTTCTTGAGGAATGGAAGAGTAAGAGGTATACATTATGAATATATACCTCTTACCCTTCCATTCCCTCTCTGACAGCGGAAAACTTTGTCTGAATGTTAAACTATTCAGACAAAGTTTCCCGCTGTCAGCGAAAGAATTGTTCCATCTGGTGCATAGAGTGTGAATCTATGCACCAAATGGAGCAAGTCCCTCGCGAAATTGCCAAAACTTGCGTCGCATTTCAAAGATTGCGACCCAAATTTTGGCGATTTCTAGTAGAGATGGAGTATTTTGAGTCACTGACCTATATGCAGTGGCTCAAAGGGCTCCATCTCTACTTTGAAGCAAGGAAACTTTCCTCGAAATTTTGATAATTTGAAGAAAGTTTTCAAGCAATTAACAAAGGATTACTCGCTATGAGGTAAAAATTCTAGATTTTCACCTCATAGCGAGAGCTTCCCTTTCATTGCTTGAAAACTTTCCCCAGCTTCAAAATTGGGGAAAGGGCTGTAAAGTCGACTCCGATACCAGCAGGTACCAGAGTATTTAAAAGAGAAGCCCTCGTACGAGTTTCTATGAAGACCTTCTCATTCAAGAAGATCTTAATAGAAAATCGTACGAGGGCATTGGAAACTCGCGTCTGGTACATGTTGGTACCAGAGTGTTTGAGATTTGAAGACTTTTTCGGTAATTCTTATTGTTTCCCGACGCACTGCACCGATAATCTTAAAAGCGATATATTATCATCTTGAAAAATCGATTACATATAATTAGCTCGCGTTTTATTTCTGGGAAATATGAAATTCTGGTATTTAGGGATTTAAAAACGGTTTCGCCAAATGGTGAATTACTGAAAATTCGCTAACTCAGCCTGATTTTTTCGAATTCGGCGAACTCAAAAAGTGACATATTAAATACTTAATCTCGCTATAATCATTCATAATTTTTGCATATGTCAAATAGTTACAGTATGTTTATAACTTTATTTCGTATAGTCATGATGCTCATGATAACCATTTTGAATTTAAGTGAATAATTGACAAATTATAGGCGTCAATACTTGTTTTTGGAATCTTATCACATAACCTCAAATATATTAATACAGTAACATACAAATACTGTAATGGTTTTCGTGTTTTTTAGATAATCTCGGTAATATCTATTATTTATCTCATAATATTGAATAATTTCTTCTTCTTTTCAATTATATTTTTACACAAGTAAATTATATTATTAGTGTTCCATATTAAGTTCTGTCAAAATGTAAGCTATTCAATTCTATCGTCGGGGAAAGTATCACAAATCTATCAATTTTTTTGTAAAAGTATACAAAAACATATGGTGTTCAATTAGTTTATAATACCCAGATTTTCCTTACTTTTACCACTCCCCATGTAATTTCTGGGGAAAACGATAATTCATTTTTTTATGGATGAATAGATCGTTTTCCTAGAAAGGACCTCATATCTCTGGCTAAAAAGAGTGTCAGATCCTAAATAGATTATTGATCTAGTGTACAAATCCAATAAAAAGCCTATTTTTTTGGCTTTTTTGGTGCTCATTTTTTCGAAGATCTACATGAATATGGGGGAACCATCGGATTTTTTTGGTTAACCCACATCTTCATGTAGTCTGGACTATCTTTCCTCGAAGGACCTCTTTACGGGTGTAAAAACTCATAAAGTTCTCAAAAGATTCATTCTCGATCTCCATGCTGAAAGAATTTACAATAAAAAAGAGATCTACGCATCAAACTACAGCCATAAATGAACTGAACCCCTAAAGCTCAGCTCTTAGTTTATCAAAAACGTCGAAATCCTTCTCATTGCAATCAAATTTTCTCAATAACTCATAAGAAAAATCGAATTTTGATTAAGCCGATGTTATAGGTATCACAAATACTACAAACTTGAGCAATATCGAAATTGCCAGCAAAAGTTTGAAATTGCATTGCTCATATTTGTTTTGTAAACTAAAAATCTGCTTATATTATTCATTAATTTTTTATATATTATTCATATACTTTAATAAAAACAATACTATTTCACCTTAAAAATGAATTTCATAAGTCAATATTATTTTTTTGAAAATGTATCAATTTTCGATTAAAACAACATGAGAATAAAATTTACGCAAAATTATTTTAAAAAATGGTTTTAAAAATTTACAATAGATGAAGAATAAGATTGCAAGAAGTTTTGAAGTTTAATTTTAAGAAAAAAAATTCGGATATTATTCATGGATCTAAGTAATCTGATATTTGAGTATCGGCACTATGCATAAAACATATATTTATAGTTTTTTTGGATTTTTATGATTTTAAATATATTCAAATTTGGCAATCCAATAGATTTTTAAAAAATAGGTAAATAAAAATAGATTACATATGCAGCAGATTTAGAACATGAAACAAATCTTATAGTGACCCAAAA